AATTCGAATTTTTTCTCACCCCCCAAAAATTCGAAAAAATTATCGTATTACATGATACATACATGAGATACATAAAGGATGATTAGAAGATATTATAATAATAATAATAATAATAATAATAATAATAAATCAACGTTACGTCCTAATATTATAATTGGATTTTAATCCTATATATATATATATCGTCTTATATTTCTTTATTAAATCATTTATTCGTGTTTTCTCTCTCTCTCTCTTTTTTTTTTTCTCTTTTTTTTTCCCCCTTATTTTTTTCTCCCTCTTCCTGGTTTTTTTTTTTCTTTTCAGAGTCGTTATATCACAGCATTGTATTTCACATTCAGCAGCTTAACGTCCGTCGGTTTTGGTAACGTTGCACCCAACACGGATACCGAAAAAATATTTACTATTATCGTTATGCTGATAGGATGTAAGTTTATCATTATATTTACATTTACTTTCTTCTATCTTCTATCTTCTACTTCTTATTTTTCTTATATTTAATTCTTTCGTTACCAACAACTCACACACACACACACACACACATATATATATATATATAAGGGGGAAGGTGGGAATCGTTAACATCCTTTTGTTTCGATCGATTCGTATAAAGGTCGTAAGAATATGCCGAGTGAATGTTTTTCTATGGAAAAAAAAAGAAAAAAAAAAAACAACTTACAAAGCCAACGTGTAACGAAAGTATTAAATATTATTATTTATTCAGCTATGTATATATATATATATATATATATATAACCGATCGAACGTCGGTTTGATCTCGTTTATTTTTATTCTATTTGTTTTTTGTTCTTTTTTTTTTTTTTTTTTTTTTCTAGCACTAATGTATGCCAGTATATTTGGTAACGTATCAGCAATAATTCAAAGATTATACAGCGGTACTGCGAGATATCATACGCAAATGTTAAGGGTACGAGAATTCATAAGATTCCATCAAATACCAAACCCACTTAGGCAACGTTTGGAAGAATATTTTCAGCATGCGTGGACTTATACAAACGGGATCGATATGAACAGCGTTCTCAAAGGATTCCCCGAGTGCCTTCAGGCTGACATTTGTCTTCATCTCAATAGAAATTTGTTAAACAATTGTAGAGCCTTCGAGGGAGCTAGTCCAGGTTGTTTGAGGTAATTCAACATATTTATTATTTTTTTCATTATTATTATTATTATTATTATTATTATTATTGTATATATAATCGAGAAAAATAAAATTATTTATATATTAATAATAAATAAGTATCGTAGTTTTGTTTGAGTGTTCAAATATAACGAATTTTATATGTATAATGTTTTGAATATTAAAAAGATGTATGCCTGCTTAAATAAAAAACAAACGCTGAATTTTAGAAATTAAGTTGCTGAAAAAGTCCCAATAAAGGGACGAAAATTAAGTTCTAGTTTTTTTTGAATGTCCAATTTCCCTACGATACTTATTTATTAATAATTTTATTTTTGGACGCGAGAGATATAATTTATTTATAATTATTGTTTTTGTTTTTCTTTTAAACACGCAGAGCTTTATCATTAAAATTTAAAACGACACATGCACCACCCGGGGACACTTTGGTACATCGTGGAGACGTATTAACGTCATTATATTTTATATCACGCGGAAGTATTGAAATATTGAAGGACGATATAGTAATGGCAATATTAGGAAAGGACGATATATTCGGTGAAAATCCATGTATCTATCCGACAGTCGGGAAATCATCGTGCAACGTTCGTGCATTGACATATTGCGATCTTCACAAGATACACAGGGACGATTTGCTCGACGTATTGGCACTTTATCCCGAATTTTCTAATCACTTCAGTCAAAATTTAGAAATAACATTCAATATGCGTGATGTAAGTTAACGATTTTGTCATTTTTATATTGTTATATGTATTATATATATGGCCTATTTATTTTTAAAGTGGTGTTTAAGTCCATTTTTTATTGTTTTAACTAAAATTAAAAAAAATATAAAATTTAAAAATATAAATAATATATAAAAATATAATATATAATGTAATATATATGAGTTTCAAAGGGAAAATTGAAGACAGTTAATAAATTTTGATGAACAAATTTATTTGATCTTGTTGAACGTTTCGTCCCTTACTGGGGACTTCCTCAGCAACTCGATCACCTAGTTCACGCGTCAATACATATTATTTTAGAGTCATACATTATAATAAATTAATTAATCCTAA